CAATTCCAGACCATTTCAATTCCATCGTTTAGTTCTATATTCAAAAAATCGAATTATCTATGTGAGTTCATTTATTGATAACCCACAACAAAATTGTATACCTGAGAAAAAGAATATTCATCTCTTTGTGTTATCCCGCTCAATTATGATGTCCCATCAAGTTGCAAAATAATTTTGGGGGAATCAGTTCTTACCACAATATATCAATCGAATGCCTAGCCGAGTACTTAATTTCAAAACACCACTTCATATTTTGATGGTTACCTTTTCTTAGATCAGAGCTTACTTTTCCACTATACCACTTAAAATCTTCGAGTGTTTTTTTTATTCACATCTATTTCCTAAATCACACAAAATTTGATCCCAAATTTACCAAATATATTTTTCTTGGGCATGCCTCTAACAAAAAAGGCTACAAGTGCTACTCTCTTTTTACCAAAAAATACAACTTCATGGATTTCACATTTTTTGAAAATCAACTGTACGATCCCAAACCTAATGCTTAGAGGGAGAGTTCAACAATTTTGGGATGCACTTGAGGACATCTGCACGAATTTACAACTTATTTCTTTTGCATCTAACTCTCATACTCCTCTTCCACCTAACCCTCCTATCCTTGCGAGAATGTCCAACCCAACTTGAAGTCCATGACAAAGAACTTCGTGTGTACACAAAGAAGAAGAACTTTGAGCAGGTGGAAGACAACTTGCAAAGATAAAACTGCTTCAATCAAAACCAGAGTTCACATTTACTTGAAATTTTGTGCGAGGAGAAGTCTTGTACTCATGAGTTTTCCCATTTTCCTATGGTGTTGATGACAAGAAAAACTGTATTTGATACCCAATTAGGAGTATGCAGCTTATGAGAAGCTATTCTCAACCTATAGAACATTTGTATCTAACCTTGATATTATGTAGATTCTTAAATTCATTCATGAAGCCCTTTAAAATTCAAATGGAGGAAAATAATTGAAGATGAGATTTGAACACTAAAGCATAATGATATACACAAATTCTTACTGCTTCCTTAGAATAAAAAACCAGTTGGATGCAAATGGGTGTCAACATCAAATACAAAGTAGATGGTGGTATTTTGACATTTAAAGCCAGACTTGTTGCAAATGTTTCACTCAAGCCTATGACCTTGGCTATCAGAAGATTTTCACACAATTTACCAAACTGAACACTATTAGTTATCCTTTCAGTAGTAGTTAACAAGAAGTGGAGACTTTGGGTCTTTTTGGGGCAACTGCAATTTATTAAAAAACTATTGTGTAGCAGTTGTGCCGAAATTGCTACGGAGAAGCTGACCGTCTGTTTGTTTTTTACAATTTTGCAGCTGCTGCGTTGCAACAGTTTATGAACAAATGACCTTTATGCCCTTGTAACTGTAGTATAGTGTTGTTTATAACAAAACCAATCCTGGTAGCACATTTCATACTTGAAAACAAATATCCAATTTGAATGTTACAAAATAAAAGCCGACACCTCACAAAATAGTGATTAACACAATTATTAAAATTAAAAATAGGATTATTAAAATAATAATTAATAATATCATAATATTATTTTTAAAATACAGTTGATTAATGTCACGAGATAATCACTCCAACGAAACTCTCCACGTCCACGCTTGATTACTATCAGCGGTGGAATACTCGAACCGTTCTGCCCACCTAAAAAAGATACAGTTCTCTGTTCTATTTCCTATACACCTATAAAATTATCTTCCATAGCTATGCGACTGTCGCGAATCAAGCTGAGAATATTATAATCCATAATATCAGTACAATACTCTGGAGGTACCAGAAATTCTCAAGCTCATCTTTTCTGAAGGTTCAAAACCACAAAGCACAAACCTTTAAAGGTAATATCAGTAATGAAGAATAGTAGAAATATTTAGTTCAAATTTTATGAAACTGTGAGGTATCAGGGAACAAAGTATAAACCTACAAATTTGTCACTACAAGAAAACAATTGACCTTAAAAAAAGATCATTGATTGTCTTTAAACCACATAATATCGAGCTCGTATGTGTCATATATATATATTACCAAAAAGACATTCCAAAAAAACCTCAAAAGTCATAGGGTTGTAAAATGAGAGGAGCTTGGCTGTCTTCATTGGGATTCATTCGTGTCAAGAATCAATAACAACATATAAGCCATCCAGAAGAACACATAACATCGGATATCTCATCATAGACCTCCAAAATAAAAATTAAAACATGCAATAAAAACTTACCTTACATTTTATACCTATAGTTGCCTCATAGGCCATCCAAATGAGAAAAAAATACATGCAAAAATATTGAAATAAAATTTCGCTACATTGAGACTCAAAAATGTACATTGTTGCATAAACTATTAATACAATAAACATTTTCACAACACATTGCAAATAAAGTAATAACAAAGAAACATACAATTGCTTCATTCAACCACCAAGAATGACATCTATAATTCGCTCTCTCAAGTCTATTAACTCCCATACACCTTTCTCATATTGGGTGCAAGTCTCAGGTAAATCACTTTGAGTCTATGATAAAGATGGTCTTAGACGATATTAATATGCTTCAGTAGGGACATGTGAATGATTTTTATTAGCCCTATTGAAGTCAATGTCACTGCATGAAGGATGCCGTCGAATGTCGTTATGAAGAGCCACTGTGGCGACCACAATCTACACTTGTTTACGAAAACGATTATCGACATATCATGAATAATGACTCATATGGAGGTGGGACCTATGGATTTCATATTTTTTAAAATACTACAGGTGACTGCCCATTTATTAAGAATGCAAGCAGGAAAAATGAGAAAACAACACTCTTTTTCTCCGAGTTAGAAATTTCAACCCTGACTGACAAATTCAAGTTTGCTCTTATTGAAAAATTTCAGTGGGGGCACCCACCTATGAAAGTTATTAGGAAAAGTTTTGATGATTTCAAATTAGCAGGAAAGTGGAAAGTGGGGCTCTTGGATGGGAGACATGTATTGATTTAATTAACCGTGGTTGAAAACTACACTCGGATTTTTTCTAAAAAATATCTCAGCATTGCTGGTAAATCAATGAAGCTACTCAAGTGGTCTCCTGATTTTGACCCTAATCATGAACCTCTTATTGTACCGGTATGGTTCAGTCTACCAGGTCTCAAGCTGCACTTTTTCATCATCAGGTTCTTTACTCTATTGGGGTCATACTTGGGGACCCTATGAAGCTAGATCTACAAACTTTCAACCTAACCAGACCTTCTGTGGCCAGAATACTTGTGAAAAGATATACCTGATGTTACTGAAGTCTGGTTGGACACAACTAATAATGGATATTGACAACAAATCGTCATGGAGAATAAACCGCCTTACAGTTCTCATTGTAAGATGTTTGGGCATACACTTGATAAATGTCATAAGTTTTATTCTAATTTGAAATCTAATGATGAAGTGAATAAGGATGGATCTAATCTCACTACTCTGGACATATCTGTTCCATCTGGAGAGAGCTATCACATGACAGGTTTTGGATATCGCTAAAGATCAGCCACCTACCATCCCTGCTGAAAAGAAAGGAATCGATCCTTTACCCAACATCGCAGTTCCTGATGAAGAATATCATACTACAGGTACAGATCCAAAAGTGCTTATACCACTTACTGTTATTGAAGAAGACTCACTTACATGCCAAGACACACGAGAGTGCTTCTTTGATTCAATCAAAGATCATCTGGTACAACAAGCGGTTACTTCTAATGTTCAACATCCTACACTTGTCCGACACATTTTAGACCAATCCACTGATCATGTGAGTCAATCTTTAGATGAAGAATGACAGGTCTCTTCCAGGAGGAAGAAGAAGACTGGAGGCCGAGTTGAGCTGGAAACTTATTGGATGATATTTTGGTCACTATTGGCAATGTCACTCATCTTACCAATTTATTATCTGGCTCCTTTCCTAGAACTAGAGGTAGAGACAAAGGAAAATTGGGTCACTCTCTAGCTACCTACTCTCTAGCTACCTGATGGGTCACTCTCTAGCTACCTGATACTACATTTTTTGGCATTTTTTGTTTTTTTTCTGTATTTTTTCCTTTTTTTGGAACCTTTTGTATGTGATGGTTATGTGGGGGAAGGGTGCCATGCTTGGGCCCTTCCACACAATCTTTATGTATCCTTATTTCTTTTTAATATATTAGCCTTTGGGATTTCTTATATATATATATATATATATATATAATTAAATCAAAACTACATTTTATATTTTTCAAAAGAGGAAGAAAGGGAATTTTAACGGCCGACAATAGTGTCTTTCGTAGTAGAAGAAAACTCGACGAAGTCTGAATGTGCTCGACTCGATCAAGTCCGTTGCTATAAGAAGGCAATGACGACGAGGAATCATCACAGGAAGAGGAGGATGATGTCGAGGAAGTTGGAACGAACCTGAGCCGAAAAAACGGAGAAATCCCAAGGCTATCATATTATGTCTCCAATACCATGTAGTTTTTTTGGAGGGGAAAAATTATTATTCCACTTCAATTTCATACAAAAATTATTAGAAGTTGAATACTGAAGGGTGGCTTTCATATTGGGAAAACAATAATATTAGCCATAACTCTCATAATAAAAGAAGGAAACAAGAATGCTGACATATCAATACTAGACGGTACTAAAAACAGTAAATACTAATAATTTGATATACTAAATATCCGGCAATCTCTCTCACACACCCCGACACTACTAAGGAGTGTTGTTCCTGGGTTATTGTTTTTTGTTCAAAATCATCTTTATGTGATCACATGATCATTCTTGAAGTTTTCTACCTGTCTGCTTGGTTGAGTTTTAATCTTGATTATGCTCGTCCTGAAATTAACTTTTTTGACCTTTCTGTTTCAGTTTCTTGCCTGTTCATTTATTCATTTATTCAGTTCTATTATTGCTGGAATTTATTGATTATTAATGGAAGAACCTTATAGGCTTTTTATTGTTGTTTTACATGCTTTTCAAGAGGATGGCAAACTCTTCGTCTGGGGAAAGAACTCCTGTGGACAGCTTGGCCTTGGAAAGAGTAATCTTCTTGCCTACCCTGAATATATTTCCGCTTGTTTTCTACTACTTTTTCATTTTCTCCATGTTAGAAAATTTTCTACTATTCATACACTTGACAGCGTTCACGAGCATCCTGTATAAAATTATCTATTGAGGATTCAATGATCAGATTCTTTTCCAGGCTGCTTCTCCCCCAAACCAACACCACCTTGCACCACTCAGAATTTAAGCTTCACTAAACAGGGATATAAAACATGATTAAATGCAAGTTTTAGCAGAGTAACTTCTTCTGGATGTAAAATTAAATAAATGTAATATTATGCTATGTGAGATTCTTATACATAGCATGTTTTTGTAACAAATAAATTTATTAATTCTTAATGCTTCTTCAGTTTTATTGGTTTGTGTCCTTTTGCCTTGACGTATGGTTATGGTAATGATGGATGGATGACATATTAGACAGCTTTACTTAAAGCAATGATACTTTGTTGATGCTACTTTTTTGTGAATAAAAGATTGTGACCAAAATTGAAGCTGAGTTCCTGTGGTGGCTAATGGAGAACATTGACAAACCCATTTGTTTGGAATGCAGTGCTAGGGCATATGATGTTCACTTCTGGCTCTTTACTGTTTTTTTTTATTTTTCAACCCTTCTTGTAGGCTATTGTTAATCTAAAGTGCTATATGTGGTAGTTTTAAGGCGCTTTGGACATTTTTGTGGGCTTCCTAATTTCTATGTATATATATATTATTTCAAGGATAGAAACTTAAACAAGGTACTTTTAAGAAGAATCACTGAAGGTGACAAATTTATTGAACAAGAACTTACAAAAATATACAATTGATATTTTCCAAGAAACATGCAATAGTATGAGGAATATGACCTCATGGTTGTGAGCTAGGGTGTAAACCACTTAGCTAAGACCTAGTTCATTTGTAAGCTTTTAGGTTTCTAGTTGTGCAGCTTTTTTGGACACTTTCATGAGGTACTCCAGATTTGCCAAACATTTAAAATTTGAATTTGTTTTTAAATTGACATATCAATTTACGCTTTTATATGTTATTGAGTAGAATGACGTGAGGCTTTTTGAACATTAGCTAGAAACGAACAACCATTTTGCCAAACCTACAAACACCAACATTTAGGGTATGCTTGATGACATGGGGCGCTAACAACGCCCCTGTGGCAGGGCGAACACGTGGGGCTGAAATCCCACGAACTATTACGATGCTTCGCGGGAAGCAAAGGTGGGAGGCAGATCGCGAACTCTCGCAATCCAAGGAAGCAAGGTGCTTTGATCCCGTGGGGCTAGAACCCCCGTGATGCTTCGCAAGAGCGGAAGCTGGGCGTGAGTTCACGCAATCCAAGGAAGCAAGGTGCTTTGATCCCGTGGGGTTAGAACCCCCGTGATGCTTCGCAAGAGCGGAAGCTGGGCGTGATTGTGAACTCTCTCGATCGAGGGAGATGTTCCGCAAGTTTGCCACACCTATCTTTTGTGGGAAGTATTTTTCTAGATTCTTCTTGCCTTCCCACCCCCTTCACCTTGTGTAGAAGTTTCCTTTGACCAGTAAAACTCTATAAATTGTTGTTCTCTGTGTGTAAGAGTCAGTCTTTGCTGAGTTTTTTTTTCAGATCTCATGTGTGGAGTTCTTTTCCCTTTTGCAGGGCTGTATCCAAGGAGTTGGTGGTGTTTCGGCTGTATCCTACTTTGAGGTGGTGCTGCATCCTCCATTTTATCTTCCTTAACCCGTCTCCTCCACTCCCCCTTAGCCGCCAACCACTCCAAGCCTTCCCTTACTGCCTTTAGCCCACTTTCCAGCCGTCCAACCTACTTTCCAAACCACTCTAGTCGCTGCTCTTGCTGTCCAGCACATTCCAGCCACCAATCCGCTTGCTACCGGTCACCCACGCCCTTTATACTTGCTTTCCTCGCAATTCTACACCTTTCTCTCGCTGGCATCAACACTCCCTTGCTGCCACCACCCTTGCGAACCATCCCAAACCACCGAGCCAACCTCCACCGCCCTTGGAATACACCTTAGAGGTGTTTTCTTGTGTCGTTTTATGTTTGGATGCTGTTATTTTCCTCGTGTTGTAACTATATGTCTATATTAATAAAACTTTGCTTTGTGTGTTTCCGCTATTTTCCCTACTAGTTCCGGTATCACTTGATCTGATGGAATTGAAGGGAATGTTATTGCATTTATCTAAACAATTTCATAGTTGGTGTTTGGTTCCGGTGTAATTAATAGGTAAATGCTTTTAGCTTTTAACCTAGGATATGTGAAGTTTTTATTGAACAATAGGAATATGATTAGTTGGTGATTTGATGTAGTTAACCTGTTCTCACCGCAGACTGAGGAAAACTCAAAATTTTTGTCAATCAAACAAGAAATATAAAATAATTCTCTCAATTTTCTTTCAACCAAGCAAACAAACAAAAGTTTCAATTCAGTTCCTTCACCATTTTCATTTCCTTCACATTTGCTCTTCAATTCCTTCAAATGATGTTAGAGCCTTGTTGACCTCATTTTTAGCGAGGTCTAGTCTTCCTCTTAGGGTTTAGGATCTAACCTTAGGGATCTCCTTTCGACCTCCTTAACCTTAGGGATCTCCTTTCGACTATCTTAGAACCTTAGAAATGGGACCCACCTTATTTTAAAAAAATTCAACCCGCTTTTGTACTCTTTTGTGGTTTCACGTGTGTGGTATCGACTTCTAACACTTAGAAGGATGAAACCAACATGAGGAACCCAAAAGGGATCCTTATAGGACGTTTTGAGCCTTAGGGTGACCTTCTGCACAATTCGCACTCCCGCACGCATAAACTTCGCAATTCGGAGAGTCGACGCGTCTGATCACCATGATTCGCATCGCTTGCACTGTTATTCGTCGAGGGCTCGAGTAAATCTTTTGAGACGATCGATCGCGGGTTGAAATTTTGTGAAATTTGAATTTCGACGCGTTTTTAACCCGATTGTCGACGTCGTCCGAGCGACCCCGGATGACAAAACGGACTGCACCGGCGCGTCCAGCACGTCGACTTTGCCTAGGGACGACA